TTAATTATGTACAAGACACATTTCATAAAGTTTTCCATCAAAAAAGGGTAAGAAAAAGTTTGAGTTTTTAGAAGCAGCTTTGGTCATGTGGAAAGATCTAATATTCATTCCTTGCTGACAGTGGAAAATTGAGACTTAGCTCTTTTTCTTTTCATGTTCTAAACTTCCTCTTTCAATTTCCTCATATTGGGGGCCGAGCCCGTGCTTGGATTTTGTATATGTCCACTGCTAGCTTTTGTTAGGCTAATACCTTCAGAGAATAATGGACTATCTCTCTGAGAAGCCCTTTCCTGGGAACTTTAAGAGATTAAAGACTTGTCAGCTTGAACTCCACTCCTATCTCTTATTGGTTATCGCATGTGAAACATTCACCTGACACATAGTAAATACTCAGTAAGTGGTAACTACTATTATCATTATCATCAACATGCTTATAAGGAAGTGCCTGGTACATAGTAAGATGGTTAAGCAATGCTAACCTTTTCTTCCATCGCATCTGGTCAGGCCAGCCCTGAACTCTTACCTGAAGCATGCTGTGGTTCATCTGATACTGCAGGATGGCTTCACAGAGGTTCCAAAATGTGTATTCTGGCCACAGTATAGGTTGGAACACCAAGCAGGAGTGGGAGGTCTGGGAAAGGTAGGGAAGGAAGAGAGTATGGTTTAGTAATGTGTTGCTGGGCCACATCCCTGATCCTCCAAAGAAGGAACAGGCTGAGCCAGACCCAGAAACCCATAGATGTGATGGCACAGGTATCCTGAGCCACAGCTGCTGCCGCTGCCAGCCCTGATTCACTCACTAATGGGGGAGGGGTCACTTGAGGCACTTAGATCATCTGCCTGTGGCAAGCAGAACTAAAATGAGACCAGATCAACATTTACACCAGGATTTTTCTAAGAGCCAATTTTAGGACTATGAAATAACATCTAGTTTATGTTATTGGCTCTTTGCCCTCAGAGGTCACCTCGGAGACACACTGGCTGACAAAAGTCAGCAATGAACAAATGCTAGTTGCCACTGTTATTTTTAAGTAGCAGCAGTATGGCACAGTGGTTCAGAGTGTGGGCTCTAGAGCCAGAGAGCCTGGCTTTGAATTATGGCTCTACAAATTACCATCTATCTGAGTTATGAATTATTTAATCTCTCTAGGCCTCAGTTTCCTCAAGTGTAAAACTGAGTCATAAGAACACCTAGTTTTTAGGGCACTATGCAGATTAAATGAGATAATATACATAAAGTAGAGCACAGAGCTGGCTACACTTTAATAATAATCACTGATATAAGAATCTGTTTTTAGAATATTCTTGACAGCCATTGCTTGATACCTTTAGTGGTGAGGAATTTAATGCCTCATGGGGGATAACTTTAGTTGTTGGATAGCTTGTTATGCTAAACCAATGTCACCTTCCTTGCAACTTCTACCAAAGTCCCAGGTACAGTGGAACAAGTTTGTTCTCTGGAACAAGTTTGTTTCTTCTTCAAAGGGATATACTTTCAAATATTTAAAGGCTAGATTATCTGCCTGTTATCTGTTCCCAAGGTTGTAATGACTTGTTTGGAGTCTGTTTTTACCAACAAACTGTAAGTTTCAAGACAGTAGGGATCACTTCTTACTTGGTCATAGCTGTATTTCTAGCACAAAGGAGGAACTCAACATTTTTTTCTGAAGGAATAACTGTCACCTGCTTCCCTTTTCCAGACCTTTCCATCATCCTTTGCTAATTCATTGTAAGATATGAGATTTCTTACTATCTAGGTTGGCCTCTTCTGGTAAATCCTTTAGTTTACCAATGTAGTCTCAGTGCTCAGAAGTAAACTTTCTAAACATGATCTGAGCAGCAGAGTGGACCACAAAACAATTAGGTGCACATTATACTTCTTTCAATGCAGCCAAAAACTGAAAATATCTTCAATAGCTAATTTAATTCCCTTTTAAGACTGTGGTCCATTAAAATTTCTGTAGATTTATTATGTTAACTCCTTCCGACCTGAGTCTCTCCCTCCAACCTCTCATTGAAAAGGACATCCCCCAGTCATGGGCTATCCAGGGGCCAAGTTAAAAGGGAATGGAAATTTTCAAGCAAAAACAAATTTAACTGGACATGAGCTTTTTGAGGACTACCTATGCTGGCATAACTGAGTTGAGAGGCAATGACAAACTCTGAGAAAGAGTTTGCATACAGTTTATATCCCTCATGGACCATGTTTACAGAGACGTGGTACTTTATTTCAAAGGGAAAAGGCTATCAACTGTAAGGCAAGGTTCTAGCCCAGAGGTGTGAGGGTATCTGGCAGGTTGCCAAGGCAGAAGCTTATACTCAGGATAAAAGGCAGAGGTCCCATTCCCTGAACATGGGCACAAGTGAAGTTTTTTTTTTTTTTTTTAAAAGATGACCGGTAAGGGGATCTTAACCCTGGACTTGGTGTTGTCAGCACCACGCTCAGCCAGTGAGCTAACCGGCCATCCCTATATGGGATCCGAACCCGGGGCCTTGGTGTTATCAGCACCGCACTCTCCCGAGTGAGCCACGGGCAGGCCCTCAAGTGAAGTTTTGACTACATTTGAATAGCCTTGAATTTCCCTCTAGGCTAGATGCCTCGCACTTTGGAGAACAAGAACCACACAGGTCTGCAAAGCCAGGGACAGTTGAGGAAGGGATAGCAAATGTTACCAGGCACAACCTGGAGTCACTTTTCCAGATTTTAGCTTTTGCTTCCAAATTCTCGGGTTCCAGCAGGGCTGGGAGTGGGGATGAACTACTCTAATCCATTCTGTGGGCACAGTCATTGTTTTCAGCCTGACGCATACATAATGGTGCTTGAAAACTACCTACCTGCCAGAGCAAGAAGTCACTCAGCCGCACTTCCCCAGAAGTCCGTATCAAGACGTCGGGATGAGGAGAATGGTTGGTATAGAGGCACTTATCGAGCAGAGACTCAGAGATGTCACTAAGGTAAGCAAGAAGACGCAGAGAAGCACACATCTCTTTTTGTAGTATTCTCATGGTGAACTTCCATACATAAGGCTTCCCAGTTTATGGAAAACTATCAAATACACTAGCCAATGCTATCTGGTACACAAAAGGCCCTCAACAAATGTTAGCTAAGTTATAAATGATTTTATATCTTCACAACTCTATAGGTATTTCTATCCTCATTTTATAGATAAAGAAACTAAGGCTTAGAGAAGATGAAAGTCATTTAGCCGGAGGCCTAAAATCAGATGCATCCACTGGAATGTGTTGAGCTTTGCTTAAAATATTTTGTTTTAAAAATGCATATACCCTGTGACCCAGCAATCTGATGAAATACTATGAAACTGTTTCTGTTTTTGTTTTTTTAAATAAAGATAAATCTAAACGTACTGATTTGGAAAGATACCCAAGATATAATGTTAAACAAAAAATGCCAAGTTTCAGAAAATATACAGTATAAAAACTAGACACACACGTATACTTAAACTCATATCTGTGCATATGCATATATTTATACATAAAGAACAAGTCTAAAAAGACATACATCATACCATTAATGGTGGGTTGGATAAGAAGGAAGGAAAGACTATTTCTTGGGCCGGCCCCATGGCTCACTCGGGAGAGTGTGGCATAGCGCCGAGGCCACGGGTTTGGATCCTATATAGGGATGACCGGCGCGCTCACTGGCTGAGCGTGGTGCAGACCACACCGTGCGAAGGGTTGCGATCCCCTGACCGGTCAAAAAAAAAAAAAAAAAAGAAAGACTATTTTTTTTTAATTTATGTACTTCTGTTATTGTCTGAATTTATTATAAAGAGCATTTTTTTTTTTTTTTTTTTTTTTTT